AATAAATGATATAAAGAATAATCAATCGAAATCGAGTACTAAAAAAGTGTTTTAATTTTTTCCTTGCAACGTAAAACACAAATAACGTGCGCGATTTAGCTGTGCAATTGAACTGTGCAATTTAACGAGTAAACTTCTACCTGCCTCTCTTTTGTAAAAAAAAACTACTTATTTATTTAAAAATGATGTATAATCTGTGCTTTAAATGTATTGTTGACAATTCTTAAATTCACGCAATGCATTCGAAGTCCACCAGATGGCGCGCGCGTTTCGAAAACCCGATACTTCTTTATCGTATAAGCCAAAGAATACTTTATCTGAAATGACCCAAAAAAACACTTCGTGTTAATAATATATGAGCTATATTATCTAGAATTGAAAATTGATTTAAAGCAAACCTATTTCTTATGAAAACAATCATATATCAACGTTTTTGGCAGATTCGATGTAGGCACAGCCTCATTTACTTTCACGATTGAGCAAAAGTAATTCCTAGCGAAATTTGGAAAAGCCGATAAAGGAGGAAAATCGTTTTTGTATTATTATTTGCCGAACACACCGGTGTCATATACATAGTCGAGAGACTTCATCAAAGAAGACATGCCGAGAAGCATTGTACAGATGAAAGGCGGGCGGCGCCGGAATAAAAGTCGAAAATAATCACTATTCGATGTTCAAACTGCCGTTTCAGCAAACCGAGATACACAAACTGAAAGAAACTCATTATTTTTTCTCATGCACTTAAATACGTTTTCAAAATGTTAATTTAAATTTGTATATTCGCCAATGCAAATATTTATTTTTTAATAAAACTCTTCAATAATTTTATATTTAAAAATTAAACATGCTTACGATTCGTAAGTTACGAATAAAAGCAATAAAATATTCAAACTAATTAAATATTGAATAAACTTTTATTATTCACAATTGGAATTTATTATTTAAAATTAAAATATTCCCAAAGGTCATAATTTTTAGATTAAATTCTAAATTTATCCCTTGAAAATAGACCAAAAATCGACATAGAAGCAGTAAAAGAGAAGAGAACGTTTTATGGGCACTGTACGCAAAATTTTTAACGCTTAGTTAAATCTAGTTAACTGCACTATATAATATTTTCAAATATTGGCCTCAAGAAACTATTTAATACTTTTGTATTTTTATATTGAGATAATAAAATAATTTTGAAATTTAGTGTTATTTTACAAGAAATGCACTTTATTTTAACGATTGTATGACATTTGAAAACTGAAGTTAAAACTAACTTCAGCCCTTGACTAAAAACCTGTTTCTAACTTCAGCCCGTGACTAAAGACCCATAAAGCCACAACTTGTCAATGTGCATTTAAAAGGTCACTTAGTGTCATGAAAACATGTACGATAATGGGCGTTTTAAAGGTGGGAGTAGAAAAAGTAGAAAAAGTATATTATGCAACTCGTTTATACTTGTCTATTGTCTAGACACGATCATGCCTAAATTAAATTCGTGACTAAAATTGCGTTTATCAAACTTTATACATAATATAATATAAAATTGTTAACAATTAAATAAACTTTTATTATTCACAATTGGAATTTAAAATTAAAATGTTCTTAAAGGTCTTTCAAAATTTTTAGATTAAATTCTACAATATTTTTTTTATTTAAATTTAATTTTTTGTTATTCGTTTTTAAAGAATGAAAAATGAAAAATATTATTTAATACCATTTTATAAAAAATTAAAAAAACATATTTTGTTTTAAAATTGTTAATAAATTTAACCACAAAAAAAATACTGATTAATTATTCTTTATTAAAGTAAATTAAAAAGTATATAAAGGATGCTGAATAAAATTAACCCAGAAAAATGCTCTTGTATCTTTCAAGACCTATTTAAAAAATCTGTCTTCTATTCGCAAAACGCATAGAGGATAACGTGGTTTTTATGGTCCACAAAATACATAGATCAAATAAGCTCGCTATTAAATTTTGTGGTACATAAACTCTGCTGCAGAGTCTCTGCATGATGCGAATATACAAAAGACCATAAAGAAAGGAAAAGAGAGTAGTAAAATGCATTGTTCTAGGAGGTACAGTGCCTAAAGCGCCACCAACATAACTGGGTAAACTAAATCTAACATTACTTAAGTTACTGACTTAGGCACGAGTATGTCATCGCTATCCTTACTACTAACGATAGCGATGACGCTCTTATCTGTTATCACAGCTTCAACATTTGCGGGTTTTGCTTACAATTATAGAGTTACCAAATAATGTCAGAAGTTTATACATATATGTATAAAAATAAAAGTTTTTTTTTGAATTTACCAACGATGAACAAAAAAAGCTATTTATTTATGGTAAATATTAAATTTTATAATTTAAGTTTTATTCAGTTTTCATTATTTTGCTCGATAAATATAAATATTGAAACAAATTATTTCTAGTTTTATTTATTTACATGGATTTTAAAATTGTTATTACGTTTTAACGTAAAATATATTTTTAAATCTTAAGTATTTGTGATCAGTTCTCTAGTTAGTAAGGTTACATATATGTGAGGTTAGGTTACTATTAGTTTACCAAGTTTACCCAATTACATATACAACATAGTACTGTTTTGTGTGGTCTGTAGTGGTGGTTGGTATTTATTTTTTATGGAACCTCGTCACTGCTTTGTTACATATGTGTTTTTCATAATCACCGGCATACAACAGTCTGTACAACTTTATTCAGCGCGTTATTAGAAAGATAGAGCCCAAAATTCACTTTTTTTTTATTGTACCTTCGGAATAAAAAGGAACCATCTTACTTTTCGGTTATAATCTTTATTTTTTAGGTATAAGTTTTGTCATAGTTTCAATCGATCGGGCTTATCTTCTATTACCTACGAGGGCATATTGATAAGTCTTTCGAATTTTCAATAGATGACGCCACAAACAAGATTGACAAGAAGCATCTTTCGAACAATTACTGTCAAAATTTCAGATCATTCTGTCGACAATATTTGATCTTACAAGCCGAGCCATTTTTACATTTTTAAAAAACTATGAAAAAAATTCAGTCATTATAGAGTCCCCTGCTCCAGCGTATTCCACCATCAAGAACTGGTTATGCTAAAAGTTCTGGACGGACAAATGAGGCCCTATATCCTAGAAATCATAAAAAAAATCCGCAAAATCCTATTGGAAGATCAAATGAGATTGACTCAAAAACGTCCTCATTTGGCAAAGGCAAAAATCATGTTTTACCAACAAAATTCTCCGCATACTCCATATTCTCCAGATTTCGCCTCCTGTGACTCTTTTCGAGAACTGAAGAAATCGTTGGCTGGGCTGCCTCAAATGCTAAAGTATTCAAAGCTGTAGATGCAATTTTTTTCCCTAAAATGATCAATCGTTCTATTTTGAAGAAATGAAGAAGTTGTGGTATCGTTGAATTAATTTATCAAGCTAAAAGGATATGTTTAAAAAAAAACTTGATTTGGTCCAAGATTGCATTTTTATACTTATTTTAAGAACTTCTTATTAGAAGCATTTTTATTCTGTATTGCATAAGATTTTTAATAATTATATCAACTGCGTGGCTAAAAAAGTAAAAACAACTTTAAGAAGCTGATGTGTGTCTACAGTAAAAAAAATAATTAATTTTCTGGTATATCAAGACGTAAGTTAAATATTGCAGTAAAATTGATGTAAGGTATTTCACCTTGGGCTGTTTGATAAACATTTCCAAAACGTAAATACTCCTGCCTGTAATTTGAGGGCAGGTTTAATCTGTAACATTAAAAGCCGTGTTACAAAAGTTACACGGAGAAAGCAAATTATATGAAATTATGTAAAACTGTCGAGCAAACATAAAATATATTCCATTAAACTTTTTTGTGGTGTGTTTTGCCTTCAGTTCGTTTCTTATCGGCGTGGCAATCGGGCTTTCGCGTGCTAGTTTTTCAGTCTATAAATCCGCTCCGAATTTATGGCTCAATTTTTGTTGAATCAAAACGCTGTCGAAGGAACCATATAAAAGATCATCTTGCACGGTGATTTAATATCTCTTTCGATTTCGATTTTATCCTAAGGATTATCATTAAATAGGGCATTCCAATTTAGTTTGAATACTTATTGAGCTTATCCAAATGAGTCATATAAAAATTATCCATATTTTATACGCAAGATAATCACGTGTTCGTAATCCAGTGTTGCCGGATATTCTGGACGAAAATGACAGATTGATATTTTTGGATACAGTCAACATTATCGTTTATAATTGCAAAACTGTGCGTTTCAAAAAAGTTTTAAAAAATTATATGGCATTTCTATGGGCATAATTGCATAGGAGAAAAAAAAATCTTTTTTTTAATGTCACGTTAGACATACATTAACTATTCACAAAACAGTTTAATAATAAACGATAACATCCCGTGTAGTCTTAGAAACATTAATATTTTTTTTACTCGGAAACCAGACGGTCAACCTTTCTAAAACTTTATAAATGTCTTTTAAGAAGACTCCACTACAACCCAGAATTTTTTCAAATAGCGATTAATATCGTGCCCGAACCGCCTTAATTGTTATTTTTTTAAAACATACCTAGTTTCCGTTTTACGTGAGAACAAAAATAAATGCTAAGCATTCTCATTTTACAAAACCTTTGTAGTTTTTTATTACATTGCCCAAGTTTCAAAATTTCAAGGATTTTAGTTGTTTAATAATTATAAAACTAAAAGTTAATAAATTTCAAAAATCCTCATAACAATCTGAAATCTAAAATACATTTTGAATTCTTTCTTATGGCATAATAGTTTTGGGTATTATTAAATTTAAAAGTTCGTGTTTTAAAATTTTTTATTTTCTTAAAAATATTTTTTATCTTTATGAAAATTATTTTGAAAATGCTTTTAATGGATTAACCAATTAAATATTCAAATTGCTCCCCGTTGGTTTCTTGACAGTTAGCATACCTATCCGAAAATTCTCTGAGAACGTTTTGGATGACTTTTGAACTAATAAAGCGACATTCTTCACGAATTTGATTTTTCAAGTCTTCTAATTTTGTGGTCTGTTGATGTAGACCTTGTATTTAAGAAATAATCGAGAGGGGTCTGATCTGGAGATCTCGCTGGCCACTCTATCGGTCCTCGCCTACCAATCCACCTCTCAGGAAAACATGTGTCCAAAAAAGTACTTATAGGTCGCGCATAGTGCGGAGGTGCCCCGTCCTGTTGAAACCAAATGGTATCACTTGCTGGATCGGGACCCTTATTCTCATTGGGAAACATTTCTGCTAACATGGGAATAAGAGAGTTTTGCAAAAATTCCAAATGCGTTTGTTCTGTCATAGTCTCGTCAAAGAAAAATCGACCGATTTTCCAGCATTCCTGTCCGGACATTCACTTTTTTCCGGTATTGGGAATTTGCCTCTACTACCCAATGATGATTTTCTCTGCTCCAGTACCTAAAATTTTGACGGTTGACTGCACCATTCAAACAGAAGGTAGCTTCGCCCGAAAAAAGTATTTTACGAGGAAAGTGTGGATTATTGTTACATTAATTCTTCATACTTTAACAAAAGTTTTGTCTACTGTCCGGATCATCTTCGTTAAGTTTCTGCACTAGTCTAATTTTGTTTGGATGATACTTTTCTTTCTTCATAAGACGTAATACTGAGCGTTGGCTGACTTGACTTTCAGCTGCGACTAGGCTAGAAGCACTGTGAGAATCTTCTTCCACACGTAACAAAATGTCAATCTTGTGTGTTCACTAATACTAGGACAGCCAGGTTTTGGAATATCTTTGACATGTCCAGTCTCTGAATTTTACTAACCGTAGTAATAGGTCGAGATGGATACTTTGAATTAAATAAATTGCAAACTTCTTGTTGTGTTCTAGTTGTATTGCCACATCCTATGAGAATTAAAACTTCAATTCTCTGTGTTTTCGTTAAATGGCCCATATTTAAATACTTTGAAATATTTGGAGACCGCTTAAGAGACGGATACTTCACTAACTCTCAACTAAAAGTTTTTACATCTAGTAGTGGATATTTTTTTAAAATTATATGCTAACAAAAAAATACTCTTGCTATTTGTAGAAAAACGAAAATAATAATAAACTGAAAAAGTTTGACCTTGAAATGAAATATTTTGAAAAAGTTTATGAACATTTCTTCTATAAACACTTTAATTTTATCAAAACCCCATTGAAATATGATTGAAAACCAAACCAACTTACTATTCCTTGTGAAAGTACTAAGATAAGTGATTGTTAATAATAATATTACTTAACTAAGGGACACTTTATTGAAAGCATTTGACATTTATTAATATTCTAAAACAAATCCATTTTTGAGTATAAAAATAACTAGCACTTATCTTAAACTTGGCGAATTAAAGTAACAGTTTCATTTTTAGTGTCACACAGCGTTGTTTGTTGGTAAAAACGGCCCTTAAAAAAGCCCCAATAAATAGAGTACTTTAAATCACTGAGGAGTAGAAGAAGAGGTCGATAAGCGCGGCCCTGCACCATGGTGCCTAAGTGGATGGCTCCCTCGATGCCAAGAACACGTCATTGGTATCATTAGAGCGCCGCGGCGTAAAACTGAGCGACTCGACCGGCATCTATCGATAAGCCAGCGAACCGTGCGCCGACAAGTCTTTTGAATAAAATTGGCTCTTGCCGTGAAAATAGCCATAAAGCGAGCGCAACCAAGATCTCGACAAAATATGTGCGCTTTTTCTTATCGACGAGAATACATTGTTATTCAGTGCTGGGATTTGATACTTTGTAGAGGGGTGTTCTTAAAGGAGAAACGTTTTAAATATTTTTGGTCCATTAAGATAAAACAATTGGACGGCTTTCTGCAGAATGGGACAAACCTACACCATGATGAAACTGAGAAAAAAGCTATCAAAGATTTTAATAATTTTAAAATTACCTGTTAATTTTATGCCGATTTTGGACTTACGGAGGTTTAAGGGATATAATTTAATAATTTCATCAGGTGGATTTTGTGATGCTATGTGTAAGGGTGACGAAAAATATGGGCTTTTGTTGGTTGGTTCCTTTCTGCAATTTATGAAAACTACTATCTGATGTATGTATGTATTTAAAGAAAAGCGACAATTATTTTATTCCAAACAAAATACAACTGATATTACTATTATAATGGTAATATGAATTAATTTTGATTCTATTTGAAATTCGTCCACATCATCTTCCAACCCCACCTCATCTTGTAAGCTATAGCTTGGTATACCAAAAAATTGCATCAAGACTTTATATTTTGCAGAAGCAGGAAATCTTTAAAGACTTTGGTAGTGGGTCTACCAGCCTGCTTTTTACAAAAAATATTCAACCCACTTGCAGATATTCTACAGATTCTAATTCTGGATTAGTAATCCACACTATTATTGAATGTTGGTTGGTTCAATGATTAATAGATTTCACTACACTTGCATTTTGGCTATGACCTATTTTGCAGATAAATTATACATACTTAATTAGTTCATAGGCTAAATATCTCGATTTTTTTGGTTTTGTGGGTTGGTTCCTTTCTGCAGAAAGGCGTCCAATTTTAATACGAAAATTGTTTACACAGTTATGCTGGTATCCCCCAGGCATGGGGGCCCTTATCACTTATTCACTTATTTGTATTCTTAATGATTTTACACTATACGTAGGAACACTGAAGTTTTGATTAAAGTATGAGTCTTGACATATTTGTTTATTTATTATGATATGGAAAAGCACTAGTTACTGTCTGCCTTACTCGAGAGTTACTTTACTGATATTCCGTAGAAGTATTTAGTGATGTCAAATTTCACTAATGGGTGAATCTCACGAAATGTCCCCCGATGGTGTTACCCCCTGATATTTAATAAAACTAAATGAGTTTGACCTAAACTTTTAGTGTGTTTTGATCTTTTATAATTAAGTAGATATTACAGCTCAGGTTCCAAATTTTTAATCAAAATTAATTATTTTTTACAATGTTTTAAAAGTCTAAAACCTATCCTCCGTGACTGTTACTCTTTCTAGGTTAACCTATATGTTTTCAAATATCTGAGGTAGTAAAAGCATACTAAAAATATCAGTTCACTAAGTAAACCAAAGCAATCGAATCAAATATAAAATATTATTAAAAATTAAAAGAAATAATATTTATAACCATTTATTTAGGTCTTGCAAAAATTGGTTCTATCCTCCGTTAATCTGTTTTTGCTTTAAATTTTATATAACGGATGGCACTTTGATCATTTTAAATAAGCAAAAACCTTTGTTTACGACATTATAGATGCATGTGATTCCTGAAGGTCTGTTAGAATTTATATGCAGATGAGAGTGTTGCGGTTTTATAATTCAAAAGTTTAAGTTCATTAATTTGCTATTTAAAAACCTATCCACCGTGAAGTGTAATATCTCAGTAAGTAAATTTTTTTTATAAATATTTTATGTATGTCCAAAGATACAATAACTAAAATATACAAAGGGATGTTAAAAAAAACATACGAAATCCTAACCTCCGTGAAGCTCTAATATTCAAAATGTATGAATTCTTCAAATTCTTGCATAAGTGCAGAACCACTTATCTTATGTTATTACTAGACCTGGTGGCTTCCCAAAAAACCCATTCTAGACTAACAGTAAAACAACCAAAAATAAAAAATAATCATTTTTACTTTGGGGACATCTCAATATATTCACCCTAATATGTTAATTAATAAAAATTTAAAAGAGCTACCTTTAGGTATACTGTTGTAAACAGTATACTGTTGGTAAAAATAAAAAAATACATATATCTGGTTAAATTGTGGTTAAATAAAAGTTGGTCAATTTCCAATTAAAAGTCTCTAGAAGTGATCAAGGATGGCGATCAAAGAAGTGTAAAATGGTCCACACCTTATTAAGTCTTTTGTTCTACCGTGAAATTCGGCAAATAATGGAACTGTTTTAAATATCTCATCTAATTTACTAGTCGATATAGTTTAACGGACACATTTTATCGTGGTCGAAATCCCCCTTACGTTTATCGTCACTTTATAACACTATTACCAACTTCAGGGGATATTTCAAAGGCATCCAGATCTCTTAACAAGTTCGCATCAAATTAAACTTCTTCCGCAATGTAACCTTTAACTGCCTACTAAAATATCGGGATTTATGGACTATTTGAATGTGTCTTTTAGATAACGCGTTTTCGTTGTAAATTTTATACTCATAATAAACAGAGATTGTAAAAAGGATTTAAAAGGGTTTTCAGTTTTACCGAGGATTAATCTTTATCACAGTCAAACAAATTTAATTTAAAATAGCTGCATTTTAAACTATGACCTGTTCCTTATACCTGGAGTTAAATATACAAAGTATGAGAACTAAAATTCCACCTAGAAATCCTATTAAAGCTTCCTAAAATTTAATAATACCTTTGTCCTAATTATCGTACGTTATTAGTCAAAGAAACATTGGGTTTCCATTTAAAAGCGAGCACTGTGAAGTTTTACTGTCAATACCACAAAGATAAGTACAATTTTAAACGACCTACATTTGTATGCATGCATGTAATTTTATAGATACTTAATTTAACAGTAATTCGTGATGTTCCTCAAACTACATTTGAGACAAATTGTACAAAGTGTTGCACTTGAATGGGAAATTTCTCCTTTTGCTAAGGACGTTCCTCTTAATCACCGCACAGATGCATCGTAACTACTTAAGGTTCGCTTAATTGGCTTAGGTCGAGGTTAGTTTGTTCAGGATAATGATATTTAACGCACAATTATGCTCCGTCCAAAATTACTAATGTGATAATTGTTGGGTTATATACTGTGGAATGAATTACGACCTCTGCAAGGGATACTATCTGATCGATACCACCTATTTAGCTAAGCCTGTATACAATATCATGGATATTATCCTTGAAGTTTTAAACTAAGTCTGCTCAGTAGGTAATTGGATTATACGGTGGTCATAAATTATGAAATGAGGTTAAGAATCTAACACAATTTAATAATATTTAATTTAAAATTTTGGATAATCGAGTTCCACAAGGTTTCAAGTACATTTTGATGAATTTTACAGTAGAGAAATTTGTATGGTTAGGGCATTAAGCAAATATTAGTATACCTAATTTATATTGTAACAGTTAGCATGTTTAAAATTTAAAACTTCAAAAGAACATTTTAAAAACACTACATACGTACTTATAGTGCGATATTCAACTTTTATTTGTAATTAAGTAAATAGCAAATAAAACAAACTTAACAACACATTTATGCGGTCGTTTTGTTTAAAAGTAATAAAATATTCATTTAAACAAAATAAAAATAGGTTATTTTGTTTC